ATTAAAACACAAGAACGAAATCTAAAAGTTGAGAACGCACGTGTTATAATTATTAGGAAAGAAATATGCTAGGATCACGAATTCCCATGCAATTATCACTTTAAACCCTAGTTTCACAATATGACAACACATTTCAATTTTGACGAATCAATGTTCCTAAGTCTATCCAATACTCTCTCTCTAGATGTAACAAACTCTACATACCACCGGTCTATATTTCTATGACAAGAGCATATGTAAAAATGCATGCGATTTTATGAACATTTAAAGATTCACGTAGAGTATATCTGTATATTTCTATCCGCTATCGGACCTACGATGAATTATATTATGTCAAATCTATTCCAATTCTCTCGAATGCAAGAATAAATCACTTAAATTCACACAATTACAAGCCCTTAATTGCTGAAACATTAATTGCATATAAATCATTCAATATAATAAAAATTGTGTCTTAACGTCAAATTGCAAAACTAGAATATTAAAATTCAAATCACATGGTTCATCGATCTCCTAGCATAATAAAAATCTAGCCTAGCATGATTAAAATAACAAAATATATCAAAGTTTGTATATAAGACATCACCGGGTTATAAAACTTGAATAAATCTTCAAGTTCTTCGTAGCAATCTTTGTTCTTGCGCTCAAATCCTCTCCAAGAGTTGTTTTTCGGCCTCCAATTACGTTCTGGGCATCTCTGGAATGTTTTTGATATTTATATCCCGTGGAAAATTAGGTTTTCATAGGTATTTCAATCGTATAAGGAAAGAAAAGATTCACGCTGAAATTGTGCCATGCGACCGCATGGTTTTAATCCGTGCGACCGCATGGTTATCCTCTTTTTCCAGTTGAATTCCCTGCATCACTTCGTGCGGCCGCACGACATTTCTACCATGTGACCGCATGGTAGAATTAATCTTTCATTTCCTACAAATTGGTCCTTTTACTTGAATCTTCCACTTCTTTGCATCTTTTCTTCATTCTTCACATTTCATCATCCCAAAATATCATCAATTTGTATTTGGCAAACTCAATTTCTTGATTTATTTATCGGGTCAACTTTTGGGTAATTGCACCTTGGTCCTTAAACTTTCACTTTGTGTCATTTTAGTCATTTTCGCGTCTTTTCTCATGTATTTCACCATATTCATCGGTGTTACCTAAAATTCACAAATATAATGAAATTAAATCACAATTCAATCATTTTATTCGTAATTATGTCATGTTTGTGACCTAAATAAGTGTGCAAAAACACACTTATCAAAAAGTAAGTTAAAAAATTTCATGATTGAAAATAATTTGTCTTTATAGATATCTTATCATGAAATTTAGAAATATTGACAACAAAAGGATGCTAACAATCTATGCCTGTAATTTGTAGGCAACAACTTAATGTCGATAGAAAAATTATGAATGCAGATAATTGCCTTAGAAAAATCTTTGCAGCTCGAGTATCGATCAAATGTGGTAATATCACAGCAAACTCCACTTTAAAAGTACATACAAGAATAGGCAAACGATTTGGTTGAAGTGACAATTCTATATATAATTTATCAACTGTGACATGGTCAATTTATATCTAACATGAGTGTGAAAGGAGATATGAGACATATATCGAAACTCTCGTCCTCGTTATCAAAATAGTCAATAGGTGCAAGAATAAAAATTTCATTTTCTTCGTCAAGAGGACAAACACAACTAGACTTAAGAAGTGGCTGGAGTGGTATGTCTAATTTTTTACATAATTGATGAAGTTGGAAAGATATGTACCGAATGTTGGCCAATAGTAAGTTTCGTCTCAAGATTGGGGTCTAGGAATGTCGTTGGGCAAAGTTTCAGTATTCAAGTTACCGATAAACCTAGACATTGTGAAATGGAAAGCCTCATAAATATAAAAATTGTGCAATAACTTTTCAAAGTGGGCTAGATAGCAATGTTATGAAAGTCCGACCGGACCGACTGGTTCAACTGAAAAATCGAAATCCAATCTCATCACTAGTCCAGTCTTAATGTATTAACCTAAAAAGAAAAGACCGGTAAAAAACCATGTAACTGGCCATTTTAATCTAAAAATCGGTCTGATTTTAGATAGGAAAACCTAGACCCGTTTTCCTATGTATAAGGCCTTTTCAAATAAAAAACAGGGAAATTTTCATAAGATTTTAAGTATCATATATTTCAAAATTAAGAAAATAAGTTTCAAAATTCAAAAATCAGATTTTTATTAAAATTTATTTATGGTTTAATTAATTAATTTATTAATTAAATATATTTAGGTCATAAATATGTACAATTTGGTCACAAAATAACGATTTAATTAGTTAATTATCATTTTTCAATCACAAATCAAAAAATTTATGTCACAAATTATTTTACAGTCATAATTCAAAAATTTTATAAATCACAATTTTTCATCAGTCGCAAATCAAAAAATTTATGAGTCAAGATTTATTTATTGATTACAAATCACGAATATTATAAGTCACAACTTATTATACAATCACAAATTATCAAATTATCGATCACAAATTAATAATTTTTTAAGTCACACATTATTTATTGGTCTCAATTTATATTTATTATTGGTCATATTGTTTATTGGTCACAAATTAATCAATTTAATGATCACAGTTAACCAAATAATTTGTGATCAACACTAATGACCACAACCATTGACCCGACCACGACCACCAAAACCAAGCAGCACCTCCACTTACACCACCAACAAAAACCATCACAAACCTCCAGCAACACCTAGCACCAATGTAACCCATCACCACCGTACCCAGATTGGAGAAAAAACCACCTCATAAAACCTATCACCACCACACCGTACCCTCCACTCACCCTGCAAAAACATTGCAAACACCATCACCTCAAAACCATCACTGTATAACACCCATCTCCACTCTCTGCACCACCACCACCAGCAGCTTTATCAGCACCTCCACCTATAGCGACTTAACATAGGTGCGACCCCAATAGGGGCACGATGCCAACTCCGACCACAGAGATGCAACAATTTTTGAACAAATTCCTCAATCCACAACCTCCACAACCATTAACACCACATTCACCGCTACCACACCAAATCACCGACTACAGCCGTCGGACCACCATCTTCTCATAGTCATGAGTTGATTTCCACCACCACTACCACATCTACATCACCTCTAAAATCAAAAGCACCACCACCACATTCACCCTAGATATCCACCAAATCACCGACTACAACCGTCACCATCTTCCCTATAGTCGTGACTTGATTTCTTTGAGTTGTTGTCGCCACCACGATCTCCACAACCTGCTACGGTTCGCGGTGCTACTCAATCGTGATCTTCCGGTGGCTACTTGTCCTGGGATGGTCGATTTGTAAGAGTAATATTCGACAACGTCATTTCTGAGAGAGAGAGAGAGAGAGAGAGTGAAATAATTAGGGTTTAAAATTGTTTTAATTAATTAATTTTAATATATTAATTAATTAAAAAAATTTTAATTTGTGAAATACTAAACATGATTTCTAATTTATGAAACAGGAATTTCAAATCTATTAAACTATGTAATTTCCACTAAAAAAATTTAAGTTCAAAATGGGCTCTAGCATTTGTAGGCCCACATGTTTCTCCTATTGCCGCTTTTAAAATGGAAGATTACTATCCAACATTCTTTAACTTTAGACTTGGGATCAAGCCTCTCGCAATATTTATCAACTTCCAAGTGTTGGTTTTAAAAGGGAAGATTCCTATACAATATTCTTTAATTTACGATGTGGGATCAAGCCTTTTGCAATTTTAATTATTTAATTGTTTAATTGTTCACTTCATTTTTTAAAATAATTTTGACATCTAGTTCAACCTCGGGTTGACCCTTGACCCTTTTTTCATTTTTGGGTTGATGTTTGGATCGATTTTTAAAACATTGCTAGATAGTAACTAACTTTGAATAGGTTTTTCAATAAATCTTATATCAGTATTGATCAGTTATACATTAACATAACAAATTTGATGGAAGTCACTTAAGTTGTGCAAGAAAAAGAATTTTTTTTAGATTATTGAGCTAATCCACAAATGACTCTCGATCCAACAATCAAAGTCCCACAATTGTAATGGTTGCCTATAAGAATAATGAGTATTGTTAACATAGTCCCTAAATGGAAAATAATTGTATTTGTATGGGAATATACTTTTACATTATTGTTGTTAAAATCATGAGTGTTATTTATTCATGAATAATAATCTATACTATTCGATCTTGATCTATTTATGATACCACATATCCAATCATGTTAAGTGCTAATGAATATATTTGAAAATATTTTAAATATTACTTAACCCTTGTTTGAGCCACATTCATCGAGAAAAATGCATTTTTAAACAGTGTTTTGGCATCATTTTAATCATACATTTTTTAATAAAATAATATTATACACAAATCCAAAACTTTTCCTTATTTTTTAACCACACATTTCACATCATTATACTGTTCAAAAATATAATTTCTTGGCAAAAATGGGATTCAAGGGCTTAAACTATAAGCTGCATATATTTCAATACTATGATAATATCCACGTTCAAACTTTAAGATAAATTGGATGTGAACAAAATAACAATAAAGGCCTGAAAATATTCGTTCCTAACTCTGGTTATTTTATTTTTAGAACATAGTGTCAACACATTTTTCATTTGTATAAAACTGGAGAGAGCAATTATACAACGGGGTGGTGGCGCAGTTGGCTAGCGCGTAGGTCTCATAGCTACTGAGTGATCCTGAGGTCGAGAGTTCGAGCCTCTCTCACCCCATACTTTTTTCTTTCTTGCAAAATTCTTTTGCTTCCAATCCCATTGCCTGGCCGTACCACTTGCCTTGCAAACTGTCCTTGGTCCAAACCCGGTTCACCTTACGATTTTGGTGCCGACCGTACCACGTCGTAGTTCCATTGTTATGCATATTAATTTTTCGTTAATCAAACCCTGATTTCGCAATCCTCTGTGAAGTCGAAACAATTTTGATTCATTTACTATCAGTGAATTGCAATATTCGTACGCGATTATGTATTTCATGTAAGCACATATTTAATTTTTTTGCAGATATCAAGAACGAGAACAACCGGGCGTCAGTGCGATTGAGGAAGAAGTACACCTCTCAGGGCATATCTCAGCGGCACAAAGGATAAGGTCAGGTATACTCAGTACATGAAGATTCGATTCGTGAAACATGGATCGAAACTCTTTGTACACAGATGATTCTTGTTCCCTGGCTCGCTGGACACATCTACGATTAATCTCTCACGATGATCCAGGGATGGGGTGGTGGGGGATTGTTAAGGTTGGGTTTCAAGAAGTACAAGATGATTAGGAACGTAAAGGAGCACCGGAGGAAGAAGCCAAAGGAGGCCAAGAAGCCCAGGTATACCAAATGGCTGGCTTTTCAAGAACAATTATTCACCGCATAAGAGCGTCACTCCCCAGTTTCTTGTCTCCATTACTGTTGTGCCGATTGTCTCCATCATCGCATTTTTTCCTCTCCATCGCTAACATGACCAGTTTGTGCGATTCCATTATACCTTTTGTACTTGTTTTGTGTATTATTTTGTTTGGTGGCGCATTTTTGGAGCAAGAAATAAGTGTAGAAAAATGGAGCATTATTTAACAAAATCAGGGTAAAATGGCATTACTGCCATACTAGTTGATTCGTGAGCCGTTATATTCAAGTTGTTTGCCATTATGATTGAAAATATAACTTATTGCATGTGGAATGTTTTACTAAGCTGTGATGAAGATGTGTTTTGTTGGGTGGTATTTGTGTAAAAATTTCACCTTTTTGTGCCAAAATACCTTTTATACCTCTTATTTGTATTTATGTGTTTCGAACATTTCTGTTTAAGGTGCCTTTTGGGAGCAAGAAATAATTGTGAAAAAATTGAGTCTTTATTTGCGGAAGCATTTGTTTAGTTGTTTGAAGTTATGGCTGAATTTGTAACTTATCGTGTTTGAATTATCGACGAGGCTTTTTAGCAAGAATTGATCACATTGATGATGAAGCTATCCTAGATCAGGATAAGATGGAGCAGATTGAGGACGATGATGGACCATCTGTTTTTTTCCCCAACATGTTCAGCCATCTCATGGACCATCAGCCTCTCATGACAAGATCTTGCTGATGTGATGAAAAGAAATGAGAGAAATGGAGGGGAGGTTGCAAGGTGAGATATCACATCACTTTGGGTGGATGGAAAAAAATAGACACTTATATCGAATTGGCCAAAAGAAGAAAATTTTGACTCTTTTTCCAGAATCACAACTACCAATTGCAAAAAAATCGGTTCTGAGTAAATACTCTTTCAACTGCGATTCCATTATACCTTTTGTACTTGTTTTGTGTATTATTTTGTTTGGTGGCGCATTTTTGGAGCAAGAAATAAGTGTAGAAAAATGGAGCATTATTTAACAAAATCAGGGTAAAATGGCATTACTGCCATACTAGTTGATTCGTGAGCCGTTATATTCAAGTTGTTTGCCATTATGATTGAAAATATAACTTATTGCATGTGGAATGTTTTACTAAGCTGTGATGAAGATGTGTTTTGTTGGGTGGTATTTGTGTAAAAATTTCACCTTTTTGTGCCAAAATACCTTTTATACCTCTTATTTGTATTTATGTGTTTCGAACATTTCTGTTTAAGGTGCCTTTTGGGAGCAAGAAATAATTGTGAAAAAATTGAGTCTTTATTTGCGGAAGCATTTGTTTAGTTGTTTGAAGTTATGGCTGAATTTGTAACTTATCGTGTTTGAATTATCGACGAGGCTTTTTAGCAAGAATTGATCACATTGATGATGAAGCTATCCTAGATCAGGATAAGATGGAGCAGATTGAGGACGATGATGGACCATCTGTTTTTTTCCCCAACATGTTCAGCCATCTCATGGACCATCAGCCTCTCATGACAAGATCTTGCTGATGTGATGAAAAGAAATGAGAGAAATGGAGGGGAGGTTGCAAGGTGAGATATCACATCACTTTGGGTGGATGGAAAAAAATAGACACTTATATCGAATTGGCCAAAAGAAGAAAATTTTGACTCTTTTTCCAGAATCACAACTACCAATTGCAAAAAAATCGGTTCTGAGTAAATACTCTTTCAACCACAAAGAAGTTTATTTGATCCTGCAGCTTATCCCGATGGGAGATAGTCGTGGCTGATGTACGGGATGAGGGTACAACTTCTTTTATCTGTTTACTGAGTACACGTTCCATATTCATGTGGGTCCCCTAATTTCAAAGTTTGATTGTAGATAAAAAATATATTACTGTGGTGGTTATTGGCCTGCCTAACATTGGTAATAGTCTAATAAATAGCTTGAAAGATCTCTTGTTGTCAATGTTTGTGTTACTCCTAGTTTGACAAGCTCTATGCAAGAAGTTCAGCTAGATATTTATGTTAAATTGTTGGACTGACCAGGTGTTGTGATGCTTAAATCTTGTGCAGAATGATGCATCCAATGCTCTTCAAAATTGCAAGAGAATTGAATAATTAGATGATTGCAGTTGGTTCTGTTAATTGGACTTGATTGTTTGTCTTTCCTTTTTTGTTACCATTGTACCGTCATAAGGTAGATTTTGAATTGCCTGATTATGAGCTGTGCAGTAAAGGAAATTCTGAAGCTTTGTCCTGCCTGAACATTGGTAACATTATACAAGGTCTCAAGCTTTGATACTGTTGACTTTCTTCAGAAGGTAATCAGGGGTAAGATCAAACTAGTTCATGGATCCCTATATTTTATCTTATACTGTTCTCTGGATGCAAGCATACTGCACCCGCAGGATGGCGCGCAGCCAACAGTTTTGAACGAAGGTAAGGAATCTGGAGACAATTGAGTTGAGTGGTAACAACTAGTCCATAGGATCTGAAGAAAAGAATGCCGAGCCAGAAAAGGACAAATTTACTAATAGCAGACGAACTGAGAAGCTATGCTAAGGTACCCATGCTAAACGCCAAGTTGAGAAAGCAAAGCAGACAGAAAAGGAAAATCAATCATCTGCAATGGAAGATGATATTGATATGGATGGTGATTATGATTTTGAGGTAGTCTACATCAGGTGACTGTGTGCCGTGGACACTGGCGATGAAGATGGGGGGAGTCATGGAAGTGTTTTGAGCATAAGCGATCTTCCCTTATATTCAACCCTGCGCAAAGAGGGAACATCTATCTGTGGAAGGGACTTCATTCAAGGTTGATGTAAATATAAAGAATAGGGGGCATCTTTTTTATTTTTATTTTTATTTTTATTTTTTTCATAGGTACATTTACTAAAAATAATTGTCAATATTTTTCTTTGTGAATTTTGACCGCATTACATTGTGTGAGTTTTGGTTTATTTTGATGTATATTCAGAACTTTTGGTTGATTGAGATTTATTAACTATTATCAATTTATTTATTTATTTATTATTTTTTTTTTTTTTTGTAGAATGTTAATAATTAGGATGATGGAACAAGGAATGAATGTGAAATCAAAAGGTAAGAAAAAGAAATGATTTTTTGGTTTGATGCATAGAATTGGTTAAGCATTTCATTCGAACAAATTTATGATCAGAATGGATGGGTTTATGTCAATTACTTGTTCTTCCACTTGAATTGAAATGGATTGTGTAATATATTTCAATGCTTTCGCATGAGTTGAGATGGGTTGTGCGCAATATCAGTTCGACTTTTCCTTGAAGGTTGTGATTGATGATTCAGATAAGGGAAATGAACCAATGAGTTTTAGGATTGTGAATGGATTTTGAGTGTAGTTATTCATCGCAAACAATCATAATACGAGGAAAACATGCTACTTTACTACAATGTAATGTTACCAGAAAAACTATATAATGGTTACCTTAGTAACGTTAAATTGTTGTAGTAAATTTTGAATGACTTAAAACACTGTAAGGTTTTTTGGGAATGATCTTGTTGCAGCGACAACCGGTCAATTGGGGGCTGCCACGTCAGTCCCTGTCCAAACAGGGCCTGTCCATATATAGCACGGCCCAGTTTTTTGGGTTAGAAGTCACTCACTTCAGTTTAGAAATTAGTCAGATTTGTTTTGTACGAAAGATGGTATGTGTTGTCACAAGTTTTGGAGAGTATAAATGAAACAATGGTTATAATAAAGAAAATCAGAAGGAAAAAGTAAAAACATAGCTCCATTCACAGAAATTTCAAAATTGGGGAAATTACAGAGTTGTTCCTCAATCTATACTGCTTGGACCAACTTCATCCCCAACCTTTAAAATAAAAACTTTTGACATTAAACTTCATATTATTGTTGCACAATTAGTCTTGATGATGAAAATCATCCCTTTGACTGATAAAATGGCTTGTGAGGGTAAGGTAATAAAACATTTGCAGTTTAATTAAAAAGCAATAAAATAAGAAATGGATGAAAAAGAAAAAGGTTAAAGGACAATAATATGTCCTATCCTGTGTCACCGAGCACCTCACACTTAAAATCTACAACAAACTTAGCCCTAGTCATTTAGCTTCTTCCAATATCTCAACCAAGTTGCCATACATTCGAGGGGGATCTTGCTTGCGACTGGTGAACATCTCCTACAAAAATGGAAGTAGCATTTTCAATTGTCTTTTATTGCACGATAGCTGCCTTTTAATTTGTCAGCTTTTTGCCATCAGCAAAAGGAATTTGAGGGCTTTATTTTTGGGTAATGCCAAATTCACAAGAATTACTGTTGACCTCGTTTTTTGTTGGGTTGACGTGATCAACAAGTAACTGTTCCATGTAGATGACTTCTGCACACTTCGAACATGCCGTTAGTCACTTGTGATCTTCTCTGGTAGTGGGGATAATAAGAACTGGATGTTAAGAATAATATAGATGTGTCTTGTGTATATGGTAACCTTACCTTTTAAATGGCTATGTAAGTGAGTTTATATAAGGATGGAGGAGGAGTGTCGGTCATAGGATGAGAATTCACGTGGCTTCATCTGAAGATAAGGGAGGAATATGTTTTGTCCTAGGTGTCAATCATAGATTGACGGACATTTAATGCTCTGAAATGTGGGCTGGCGACTTCATCTTAACGTCAACTCAATCAATTGTTAAGATTTGTTTAAATGAAATCCCGAGTCGCTTCGGGATGATGGAAGTGATGCTTCGCCCTAAAGCTCCAAGTTGACCTTGGTCGTAGGTGATTCGTGGAGCCTCAGATAGGACGAGGTGTCTCTACAGTTAGTGAAGTTGACGTGGAAGGAGTGTGCCCTATGGACGTATTCAATTGGCTGCCACGTTGATGATGTTTAGGAGCTGAAGGAAGAAAACGTAACAACAATCCCCCCTAAGTACATGTATGGATATTCATGTAATGCGTGAACTTTAACTGTTCTTTGTTGAGGTGATACACTTCTTTGTTAAGATGGCGTGTTAGGTTGGAGAAATTGGAATGTTCGACATAATAACAATAGTCCCCTAAGTTGGAATGTTCGACATAATAATAATAGTAGTAGTCCCCTAAAGTCCAAATCCTAAGTTGCGGCTTTGACTAAAAAGATTGACCGGGCCAACGAGCATCAACGCCTAGTTGTTGAGGCATTGGAGGTCTACAATGAAGACAGTTTAAGCTTCGATAGTTGATTGAAGCAAAGAAGGAAGAGAAAAAATCACTAGAAACAGAGGCCAAAATAGCTGGCAAAGTGGTAGTGAATAATTATATCGAGAACTTTGAGAAAATGAAGGAGTAAGACTATTTTCCCAACTATTGGACTTCCCAACAAATGTTGGCTCACTTTAGGGAAGTTTTCCCTGAATGGGACGTGGGCTTTATCAAGGAGTTTTATGGTCCCATTGATGGTTGTCCTCATATCGAGGCCTAAGTGAAGGATGCTAAGGGGGAGGATGAAGATGCTGGGAGGGGGCATTAGCAATGGTGAACCCCCAGCCTCAGCTATATAAACTTGATATAATGGCTTTGTCCCCTCTATAATTATTCAGTATCAATGAAATTTTGATACGTGTTTGTACTATTTATCTTTTATGTTTTTGTATGATATTTTCTTATTGTAATTGCTTGATAATAGTGAATCTCCCAAACTTGTTCAATTACTGACACTTCAGAAAGTGATCGTACAATTTTAAACGTTGGCACCTCATAGCTAGATGATCGACGTGCATTTATTCTCTGTTGACGAGTAGACCTCAATTCACTGCTTTTAATCTTGCAATAGGTTGACATTCCTTGTCAGAAGCTTTCTCCTTGGCAAATGATTCATCCTTGGAGAGCATCATCTTCGAAGGAATCAGAGGTGACCCCTTTGTGGTATCACATACCTCGCCGTTCGAAGTGGACATCTTTGACCGAAATGACTCCATGGAAAGTGTCGTATACCTTGTCAAGGGCTTCCTTCATGGTGAATGGTTAATCCATTGAGAGCATCACTTTGAGGAGGTGACCCTTGTGGGAGGGGGGGTCACGTACATCATCGTTTGAAATAGACGTCCTTGAACGAGAGACTCTATAGGAAGTGTCGTACACCTCATCAAGGGCTTCCTCCACGATAGATAGTTCATTCATAGAAAGCATTATCTTTGAAGAGGTGACCCTTGCGGGGATATCATGTACCTTGCCGTTTGAAATGGACATCCTTGAACAAGGCAACTCAATAGATAATGTCGCACACCTCCTCAAGGGCTTCATGATGGATGATTCATCTATCGAGAGCATCATCTTTAAAGAGGTGACCCCTATAGGATGTTATATACATCATTGTTCGAAGTGGACATCCTTGAACGAGGTGACTTTATGGGGGGTGTCACGCACCTCGTTAAGGGCTTCTTTCATTGTGGATGGTTCATCCATGGAGAGCATCGTCTTCGAAGAGGTGAGCCCTATAGAGGTGTCATGCACCTCATCGTTCCATGTGGACATCCTCAAACGAGGTGACTCCATAGAGAGTGTCACATACCTCGTCAAGAGCTTCCTCCATTGTGAATGGTTCATCCATGGAGAGTGCTATCTTCAAAGAAGTAATCCCTGTGAGGGCTGTCACGCACTTTGCTGCTCGAAGTGGACACCCTGGAAAGAGATGACTCCAGGGAGAATGTCATGCACCTTATTAAGGGCTTGAAAGTTATGTGCATTTGGTGACAAAAATAATTTCATTAGATAAACACATTTACATTGGGGCTTCAATCCATTGTCGGCTACCACAACTTTTACTACTAGAGCAGCAAATGATGGTAATGCAACCCCGCTGTATGCTCTTGGATGGAAGTAATGGGCTCCACTAGTCTCATTCTTTGTGTGTGATTTACCATATAACTAGCCATGAGTAGGTTCTTGCTTCTTTGGTATAATTTTTTGTGCATTCTGAGATTTTCCTCCTTCATGTGGTCCTCCAATGATTGTATCTATTTTTTGAATAGGAGCATTGCCCACTTCAATTAGAGAATTCCTTCTTTGCCTCTACCTATATTTAGATCTTACCCTATCCTTATCCCTTTTATGAAGAGGTAAGAATTTCCTGGAAAGGTCTTTTCTTATCATCTCGCTTAGGAGAAGGATCTTGCCTTGGAGTATGAGAAGAATTTCTTTAAGGAGGGTGGTTCTCTCTTTTGGCATCCGGTTGCCCTATCTTGCAGAACAAAGTGCATCCCTACATTCGCTTGTATCGTAACCGTAGAAACAGCAATAAGTACAATAAGGTTGTACCTTGACATCGGGCCTATTCCTAGGTCCTCCGCCTCTTTCCCTATTTTTCTGATGAGGGGGTTCCCCATATGATGTTCCAAGTTTGATGTTGCCACTTAGTCCCACCTCTTCATGGGTGAGGGTCGACACGACATTTAAAGTAGTAGTGGCTAGGCCTGCCTTAAATTGGGGCTACCATATGTCCCACTTGGGTCCATTGCTAGTTTACTAGATGGGATGAGGGTCTTTTCCTCATCTGGCTTTAAGGTGCAAAAGTCTTTGGGCTGCCCTATTTCAATGATCGATTATCTCTTTGCTAATGATTTCAACCTTTATTATTTCCACTAGTTTGTTATAAGTGGAAGGTTTATTTGTTTTACACATCCTTCCAGAATAGGGTGTTCATGTTAAGGCCTTATTTTAAAGCAGAAAGTGTCTCTTTATTAGTGACCTTCTCACATTAGGTTATCTCAATGATGAAACGGGTCAAATAACTTTTTAGTGTTTCCTCAACTACTTGCCCCATGTCCACTGGTGAACCCACATATTTTTTTTTCATATATATAACCCAACAACTACCCGGCCAAACCCAGTTTCCCAATAGCAACCCACAACTCACAAGCCCAAATCCAATCACTATATCCATATTTCATATATGATATATCCATAACCATAATCCATTTATTAATTACCCAACCCAACTTATATGAGTTCCAATTTTCCCAAATCCCATCTTTCCCAAACAG